ACAAATACCGTAACTTATGATTATGATATGGGTTTCGACTACCTAGCTAGCTATAGGGTTACTTCTCCAAGGCCAGCACCACTACCCCCTCCCCACTCAAGAGAGAAAAAAAGAAAAGAAATGGGAAAGGCCTACTCCAAGACAAGCGATTTAAATATCATTTACAAGTGCTTATGCTCAAGCATTTCTAACAATGATTTTTAAACACCGCTCGGTGCTTCGCACGTCGCATTATTATTATTATTATCATCATCACTATTTACGCTGTCATAATTCTGACAGCAGGGAGGTTTCGTAAGCTTACGAAAACGATAACGAATACAGTTACGTCATCGATATTTTAGTCCATCAATCGCCTAGAGTAACATATTTGTCACAGCATAGAGCTATTAAATTTCAAAATGGCCGCCATCTTGAAATTTAATATGGCCGCCAAAATAATTAATTTTAGTCTATGTATTCATATTTACAGCACATATCACTCCTACTGAAGATCATTACCCATGTTTTCAATATCAGGGAGTGTCATGCAATCATCAAAAATTATGTCAGATGGCGCCGCCATATTGGATTTCAAGATGGCCGCCAAATTATTGCTATTTTTGTCAATATCTTATCTACAGCACCTAGCACTGTAAATCAAAGACCGTTACCCATGTTTTCGTTATCAAGGATTATCATGCAGCCTTTAGAAATTATGTCAGAATGCCACCATTGAATTTCAAGATTGCTGCCATACTAGATTTCAAGATGGCCGCCAAATTAGGCCTAATTATTGATAATGTTGTAAATATCGTCATATCTACAACACCTAGCACTGTCAAAGATCTCTACTCGTGTTTTCGATATCCGGGAGTATCATGCAGATATCAGAAATTATGTCAGAAGGCCGCCATATTGAATTTCAAGATGGCTGCCATATTGGATATCAAAATGGCCAAAATATTTTTTTTCCATATTTACATATGTAAAGTACTAGCACTGTGAATCAAGATTGTGTATATGTATAATTAGGGATATCATGCAATCATCAAACATCTCATAATCATAGTAAGATCTGCCTTTGGCAGCAAAGTAACACCATTTAGAAAGAAGTTCGACAACTGCCACGTTGGATTTCAGAATGATTGCCAATTAAGAAAGGTACATGAAAGAAATGGAAATTAACAAAATGAATAGAAAACAGTTAAGGAATAACAAATTGGTAATCAATCGAAAGTAATGAAAATAAAAAAATAAGTAAATAACTGCTTTGTATGGTATGAGAGCAAGTGCAGAGGGAGAGAGATAGATGCAGATATTAAACATCGTTTATATTAAAGTTAGTTTTAGCATAAATGAAATTATGTAAACATAAATCAAATATTCAAAGTAATGGTGTGAAGACCCTAATATCGAATAGACCTCATGTCTATAAGATGGATAATTATCATTTTCAAATGATATATAAGCATATGTAAATATTGAAAGGGAAAGAAACGGAAAAGAAAATTAAAGAAAGGAAAAGAAAGAACGGAAAGGAAAAGAAAAAACTGGAAAGGGAAAAGAAATAAAAAAGAATAGAAAATGAACATAATGGAGAAAGTGAAAAGAAATAAAAGAAACATCAAGAAAAATAAAGAAAAATAGCATAAATGAAATTATGTAGACATAAATTAAATATAACATTCAAGTAATGTATGAAGGTAATAATATCGAATAGAAATATCATTTTCAAATATATATATATATATATATATATATATATATATATATATATATAATTAATTTTTGTGTGTAGCACTCTGTTGATATAATTAAATAATGATGAAAACAGAGCTTGAATAAATGAAAAGTGATGTGAGTATCGTATCGGGAATAGCCTATCAAATAAAAAGAAGGTTCCTTATCAACTGTTTGAAAATGTGCCCCTGGCAGAAGTCATACCTGTATTATAATGAAGTAACATATAGAATCAATGTTGCTGCGTAGCATTGTGGTATAACTGTCTCTTATACACATCTAGATGTGTATAAGAGACAGCATCATTGTATGTATTCTTTAATATAAGTCAGTCGTATGAGAGAAGTATCTTGGAGTGAGATATGCCCCTTTATCGTATAGGACTCAGTGGTGTACTGATAAGACCTACTGATATGACACCGAGATAGTGGCTACACGTTCGAGAAATTTTTTCATACAACTGAAAAAAGAACTTTCATTGGTAGCCATCTTGAAATCCAATATTGCGGCCTTCTAACATAATTTCCTGATGATTGCATGATACTCTCTGATATTAAAAACATGGTTAAAGGTGCGATTGACTGTGTTACGTTACTGTAGATATGAAGATAATGACAAAAATAACAATATTTTGAATTTCAAGATGGCGGCCACTAAGCGGCTTATTTTTTGGGGTTTATTTTTTTTAATGATCCTTAGGTGTCATAGTATCACTGTGGGAAGTTTCATGCTTTCTTCCGAAAGTGCACGATTTTTCTCCTTAGCCGCTCTACTTATAAGTGCGCAGCTTATTGCGCGAATTTGGATTCTTTTTTCGATCACTGAAAATGGCTACTTTTCAACGGTTTTTTACAAACAATTTAGCTGCGCTATGAGCATGACTTACCAAATTGAGAGTATTTGTTTGTTCTGAGTCATTTAGAATTTGTTTATATTATATGAAGATCATTTGTATAAATAATAGGTAAAATAGCAGTAGGCCCATTGTAGTAGCCTAATACATAGCCGGGTCCGGCTGTAGAAACAGATGCTGCTATATTATACAGGGGTGGTGCCAGGATTTGTCAGACGGAGTATCCGACTTCCCCGACGGGAGGGGGACAATTTCCCCGAACAAATAAAGTGGGCGTGGTCGGGCGTCGCTCAAAACCTCTCGAAAGTATTCCGGGGGCAAAGCCCCGAAAAATATGACAATTTAGTGGTTTCAAATGCTTATTTAATCAATTTTAGTGTTTAGGCCTACTAATATGTAGAAAATACATAGGCATACTTTTTATTTCTCCCCGACAAATTGTGGTTTTTCTGGTGGGGTGGGGGCCAGCTCCCCTGGACTGGGGTTCTTTTTTTTTTTTTATAAGAACCAGTTCTGTCGAGTTTCAGTGTTAATATATATAATAATAATATAGATTTAGTATTGGTTGACTCCTCATACGTTTTAATGTAATTCTTTGAAAATCTAACCGCTAAACCAGCAAAAATTGTCTTAAAAATTATTAAAAGTATCGTCACTGGTGTCTTCTGTACACCGTGACCTAGACAGGTTACTCTGCTGGGGCCCACACTTTTGTGACTGCTCCCAGCGTCAGTGACAAACATTGTTAACGAATGCTATACAATGTCATTATTATATAATTTGTTAATGCTTAGAGACCTTTATTTTCGCCTTATAAATTGACCTATTATTATAATACAATATAGATTTTTTTTTTTAAATTTTCAAACTAACATTCCAAGTTGTCTTTTCAGTGGAGAAACCAATGTGTACATATTGATTGACGTCTGTAAAGCGCGTGTCTGTAAAATTTCCTTGAAGTGCTAGCTAAATGATGTCCAGCAGACGCGATGGTAGTACTACTAGGCCTAGGTCTAGAAGACGTGGTGGTAGTAGGCCTACTACTACTACTAGGCCTACTCGTAGCACTGGCAGCAGTAGTATAGTAGAAGGCCTAGGCCTATGCCTGACGTGGTCTCTGGCACGCGCAAAAGCTTGAGAAGCCACATTAGCCACTTGCTCCAAATGCCTCCCAGATTCAGACATAACACTTTTTAAATTTTGGGTAACTTCGTACTTTTTTAAATAAACCACTTAAACACAATTAAACCGTATAGCAAA